AACTTTATACATATGCTGCGACGTGGCTTTATGGTTATCACTCCTACTTACTTCGTTTGAGGTTCGAAGCGCGTGTAATTGTTTTGTTGTAAAAAAAGAAACAGGCAGAAAATAAAGTAGTTAAAAAAATATATATTAATTTTTGTTGTAAAAAAAAAAAGACAGAAAATAAAGTAGTTAGAAAAATAAAGTAATTTTTGTTGTAAAAAAAATATGTATTTAATTTTCGTTGCAAAAAAAATAAGCAGAAAATAGAGCCGTTAAAAAAAAAAAGGTTTATTCCATTTGAAATCTCTCTCTTTCTACTAACAATCTCTTTTGCTAAATTTATTTTAGAAATATAAAAAATTAAAATTTTGAAAAATTAAAGTGTTATTTCGAAAATTGGTACACATTCTAATAATTTCTATATTGATAACCAAATCTTTTATTTTATTTATTAATTTTTGTATTATAAATCATGTAATGTACTATTTTTTTTTATAGTTGTCAATAATATATTTTAAATTTGATGGTATTCTAAAATATTTTGGATTTCTTATTATTTGTATAATAAAGTAATTATAAAATTTAAACCAACATTTTTAATTTCTTATAGTTAGTTAGGTTGTAATAATTTAGGTTTTTTTAGTGGATTAGGGTTTTCCGTCAATTCAAGATTTTAGTGGCTATTTTTTCATTGATTTAATCTACTCTTTATTGTAATCCATGTAAGATTATATACTTTGTCTATGATAATTCTATGATTTTTTTTTTGTGTGATGTAAATTTAATAGTTAACATAAGTTTATACAGGGAAAGAACATCTCAATATTCACAAATTGATGAAAAAAAATGAAAGTTAACAATGTAGTACCCTCATTTCTTATTGGATTCCTAAGAGACAACATTTATAATGAATTTCAATAATTTTTTTGGATTTTTTTTAAAGCTTAATCCGACCGAGTCGGTCGATTCTCGAGCTGAATCGCCGATTCACCGATCCAGATGGGATTTTGGAGTGCCCGATCTGGGGCACCGATCTGTTTTTTAAACCACTAGAAACGAGTAACAAACTCAGAAGAGACAAGAAACATGTATAATCTTATCAAAATAGGATCGTGTAAATGTTAGACTAGGTATAGTTAGCCCCAGTAGAAGAAAGATCAATCAATTCATGGTGCTGTATAAAACCTTCAAATAATATCATACAAGAAGATGTAGATTCACTTGGCCATCTAATAGTATTAAAGTTACCACAAACCAACCAAGACACATTCAAATTTAACTGAATATTTGCTAGTTCCTCAAAAAATGCAAATCTGTCAGCAGCTTTGTTAAGCCCATATACCCAGATAAACACCAAGAAAATTATCTACAGGCCATTGGAAAATAATGGAAAATGTATACTTGAAAGAAAGTTTTGTGAAGCACTCAAAACCAAAAGTCCCAGATGACCCAAATACCACCAGAAGAACCAGAAGCATCTACTCCCAAAAAATCCAAGGAACTATTTCCCCAAACCAGTTTAGTAGTGCGAAGAGTCGGGGTATCCAATTTAGTTTCTTAGCGAAGTCAGAGATCATGTCTTTTATTTCTACAAAAAGAAAGAACATCTCTCTTGCGTTGAGCACTATTGAGGCACCTGACATTCCAACTTAACACTTTCATACATACTAGTAACCATCTCTATGTTTGGTGACCCTTCGAGGACCAGCAAACATAGGCTGCAAAGGTTAAAAATGTACGTGAGAACAAGCACTTACTTTACCATGATCATAATTAATAGGGCATACCAAATTGTCAAGTTCTCTTTGAAGTCTTCTTTTTTTTCTTAGATTTCTAAATTTTGCTCCCAACAAGCATTTCTTCTAGTTCCTTTTTATGCTCCTGCTTTAGGGTATCTGTAATGGCATCAAGAGAGTCACCATAACGCACATTAATTGCATCCAAAACTGTACTAACTTCCAAAGGTCGGATCACTATGGACATGCCATCATCGACATTGTTATAGTTATCATATCTCTCATCATCATCATCATCACTCGGTGATCTCATAGCAATCGGAAGAACTATAAGAGGTTCTTCCAGCTCGTATTCTTTGAGACTTCAACTACTGTTATAAAAAACAACACTTTCAAGATTTTTCTAAAGTTCATCACTATAGGTAGAAAGAGCAGATCTTCTTTCCCTAACTTCTTTCTCACTCTCAACATTATAAACCAGCACTGTTTTTTCAACAAACTCCCCGTTCTTTTGGATCATTAATTGATTGGAAGCAGCCTTCCCAAATAGACTCATCTACTGCATCTTTTCTTCTTCAGATTTCCTCTCTATACTCGCATCAGAGAAAGATCTAGCTTGAAGCTTAACAATGACGTTCTTTTGGGTTACACGTGGGATGAGAGCTTCTTTTAGAAGCTGCAGAATTTTCTTATATTTGATGGAAGTTTGTGGGAAAAAATTAATTGGCCACTCGTCCAAACTTCCAATGGAAAACTTTTCAAAAGTTTTAAACTGGTTATGGCAGGGAATAACATTGTGTTCCAAAACATATGATTTTTACCAAGGAGTTTTCCTAGCATATTTTTTTGGAATGTTTCCATCAAATTTAATAACCCATTTTTTAATGATACATTTCCCTTTGAGAGATGACGTGGTAGCATAAGAATGACCTGAATTTCCCTTCCCAAGAATTTTCTAACGATAATATCGATTGTCAATTTTTGAAACTCCATTGTCGCTGCTTGAGAACGACGATAATGGCTTCTGGGAACCCTCATCCTTATTAGCATTCATTTTGCTCACCCTTCAGGCTATGTATAGCTGGTTAAATTCCAATCGATATTCATCACCTTAACACATAGATTTGCTACCTCTTTAAAGGCTTTAGAAGACCAAGCAATGATTGGAATACCAAAAACTGCAACCCAAGACAATTTTGGTTTAATTAGGGAAGGAGGTTTCTAAAGAGGGGACCCATCTTTCTGCGACCAAGTCAGCCCCCAAGAAGCGCTAAAATCTCTTATCGATTACTTTCATAGCTTCCTCAAAAGAACCTAGAAAATAAATAAATTTACCTCTTGTAATCGAGCGACACAGGCTCGAGGTCTTAATCCCAAGTCTTATCAACCCATTCTTGGGGCATCTGTACTTTCAAAAATCTCTCCTTGAAAGTCACGATCACTACTAATTGAATTCTCTTTTCTCGTTCTTTAATGATATCATCCCTAACCAAAATAGCGGGGTCCCTATGACGATGAGAACTGGGAAGAGAACGTAGAGCCGCAACATAAGAAACATCCCATTTCTCCATTTTCTTCTCAAAATGCACCTTTCTCAACTCTTCAGCATTCTACCACTCAATTGCCACTATCACCACAACTCTACTTCTTAGCCACTCCTACTGTATCACCCGCTTATCCTCTCTGAAGAACTCAAGCTACAAAAATTTTCTAACACTTTCCACTTTCACAGTTCGTCCTTAAATTAAAACTTTAGAAGTTTGAGCACCCAAAAAATTGGGTCATAACCCATCAATCAAATGCAACAAAGATCTATCTTAAAAAAGGCGTAATAGACCACCAGCGACAAAGCTCACAAAGCAAACGAAAACCCGTGTTGATCTAGCAAATCTAGCAAGCAGCTATTATAAGACCAAAAAATTCCAAAGCCAAGAAGGAATACCACAAAAATCCTCAGAAAAACACATACCTACCATAAAACAAACAATACAGTGATCAAATTATCAAACAACCAAAACCGAGCCAGGGCACCAAGCTATTAAGACAAAAATTGAATCAAGCTAAGGCTTCAGAGCTAAAAGAAAAGAGCAAAAAAAACACTAACATGTAGGAAACCCAATTAACCGCAAACCCTTGATTTTCCCCGTCTAAACCCTAGTTTCGTGGCTCGAGCTATTCCTCCTGTTTAGATTCGACTCAAAAGGAACCCCTCTCTCTCTCTCTCTCTCCCTTTCACTCCTATTCAGATTCGTCTTAAAACCTGCGCGTGAAACCCTCGCCTGAAAATCCACCTTCTTTAGAACCTCAAGATACTCGTGTCTTTCACTCTACAGTCCCCCAAACCCTGGCCTGAAACCCTCATCGGGAAATCCACCTTCTTTAGAACCTCATGATACTCGTCTCTTTCACTCTACGGTCCCCCAAACCCTGGCCTGAAACCCTCATCGGGAAGTTCCATCTTGCAGCAACTGCTACGCCCATCGCTCTCTCTCTCTAATTAAAATCTTTCATCCACGATTGTTAACACACATATGGCAGAAATGGAAACTTTAAATGGTTGGATACATTTGGAAGAGAACAGAGGAGCGCAAGTTTGAATACTTTGACGTTCATCTCGCCTTCAATCATGCATCATACGCGTAAGAGCAACAATGATGGAGCCATATAAAAGGATTTCATGGTGAATATATCTCTGCTATTTGGAGTCCAAATGATGGCATCTTTCTTTGCTCTAGAACCCAAACTCCTACGAGTGTACTCGAAGGCCTCTAAAGCTCCTCTCTCTCTTTGCGTGGAACCAGCATTGTTCAATTGCCACATTTTAGGGGGCCATTAGTGAAGCCTATGGCCCATAGACTCTCTCCAAATTAAGGAAAAAGATGTTTAACCAGTCTTTCTACTATTTTCATAGCCCTTGAAAAATTATGCCAGAGCTCCCTATCCTACCAACAATAACAACAAGATTATTTTATTTATTTATTTGTTTATTTTTTTATTTTATTTTTTAAAAAAATTATTATTATTTCTGCCATTATTGTTACCGTAACTATTACGGTGGTTGTGTCATAGTCTAAGTATGCATATGTGTGACTCTATGAGGGCCAAATAAAGGACAGGAAATTATTGTAAGAAGAAATCAAGAAATATAAATAAAAGAGCAATAATAATTACTCAAAAGATCTCATTATTCACTGAACCACCAACAAAGAATGAAAGAATATAATCACAAAACAATCGACATTCTCCCAACCCACCCCTCAAACCACCTCCAAAAAAGAAATAATACATGCACCATATAATTGACAAAATTATTAACAACAACAAAAAAAAGAGAGAAAATTTCCTCAAGAAACCCCTCTATGAAGCATCTCATTATATTTTAAACATGAGAGTTGGCGTTGCAATCTCATTTGTTGATAAAACCTCTCAATGAACTCATCTGCCTTCGAATCAATCAACTCATCGCACTCGGATGCATTGCGGTCACCATCGTAATATGAATCCTCATGGCTATGATCATAACCAGCACCATTGCCATCAGGGTCGATGTCATATTCATGGTTGTCATCATAGTCATAGTCATTGTCCAATGTGATGGGTGGGTTCATGCATGGAAACTTGACGATGGATCTCGGAAGCTTTAATTGGACCGCCGGGCTGTCGCCGAAGGAGAACTGGCGGTAAGCAGTGAGTTCGGAGTGGTGCGGGCATCTGGCTAAGAGCTTGAGGTCCCTAATGAATCCCCTCTTGAAGATACCACCTTTCCTAGCCCACAACAAGGCAAAACGTACGAGACTCCAAGCTCTAGTAGACAATGCACATTTCTTCTTCGCCATTCTAGAGAGAGAGAGAGAGAGATGGTGGTTACAGTTTGAGAGAGATTGAGGTGAGGTTGAGGTGATGAGGGAGTTGCAGAGGGGTTTTATGGTGCAATTTGGGAAGGTGAGAGGGAGGGGGTACGCGTTGTTTTGTGAGAGACGCTTCCATGTTAATGTTGCCAAAGTCGTTTTTGTTGCTTCTTGGTCTCCTTTTTTTTAGGGTTTTGATAGGTGATGTGTGTGAGTTGTTTGTATGGTGGAAAAAGGCTTAAGAAAACAAACAGGTGAGATTGGGCGGTGCTTCTCACGCGGTTTGCTATCGAAGAAGCCCTTATCAATATCTAAATTACAAAAACGCAAGCCTTCATGCCCACCTCCCTCTTTATGCCTTTTTCTCTCTTTAACTCTCCCTCTCTCTCTCTCTCTCTAATTAATCATCACATCTGCTGGGACTTTTATGTGATTACAGCAAATGTCGTGTGCCCTTGCCACAGAGAATTAAATTTTTTATTTTGATGCTCCTTTTGAGGTCTCCTCTTGCTTTATCCTTTCCATTAAAAGACAATGACATACGTCGGCGTGAAATTGTACTATAGAAAATAATTTAATATGAAATTTTTTTCTCGTGCCGTAAAATGTGGAATTATTTTATTTATCGGTTAGTCTTACTTCTTCTTTTCACACCAATTAACAATTAACAACTAATTGATGGTCGTAAAAATATTCTCAAATTTTACCGCACGAAAAAAAATTTTCATTTAAAATTATTTTTCAAAAACTAATTTCACGCCAACCAAAGTTATGTTTCAATTCTGTATATTCACCGGAAAAGTCAAACAAGATGCTTTAAGTCGTAGCTGTAATTTTGCTGGCTCACTTCAAACTTTAAAAGGTCGGCTCAACTAGCGGCGCTTTTAGAAACATTTCGTCCCAAATTTCGGATAGTTTCGGCTGAAATTTGGTGTGCTCATTTGTCTTAAAGGAGATGTATGGGCAACGACTGCTCCATGCTTGCAGGTGATTCAACCGTTTTGGTGCCGTTATTTATTAAAACATTCCGAAATTTTGCCGAAATTTCTAATCAGGATTCAAGAAATTTGACAAAGGATGTTTCTTGTTATTTTTTTTTTTTTTTGTGGATTTTAACTCATTGATCGAAAAAAATGCTGATCTGGATTGCGAATATGCCAATATGGATGAGTAGTCAAGGGGGACTGGCACAATTCTTATCGGACGCTAAGAATCGTAAGATTTTGACTAATTAATTCTGTATGTCTTTCAATTAATTGGCATCTGATCCCTCCTCTTTTTTATGTTTTATTATTATTAATGTTCAATCTCAAATACTATTTACATGTTTCTTATAGGTTCTCACACTGGAGAATCTGTCGATCCAGCCTTGATCAGCGATCCAATTCCAACCATTGACCGATCCAACTAGCTTATGTGAGTTGTAAATCACTTGCATAAAGTAACAATTATTGCACATTTGGTTCGCATGAAAAGATTTAACGCGGAAAAAAAATGCTTTCATGTGGTTAGGTGTGAATTCTTTCGCGTCAAAATATTTATTGAGAATTAACCATGATGCGTGAAAGGAGGATAATAGGGATTAGGCTTAAAGTTCGATTTCAAAAGGCTATGCGATTTTCTTGCATGAAAAGTACATCGTCTTTTATTTATTTCACAAGGTTTAATTGAGTGACTTGTGGAGATTTCACGTACTATAAGCACTTGTTCGGTAAACCTGGGTGATCCATAAAATGAAAAGTATTGGTGTGCCACTAAGTCCATACTACTTCCAAATACGTCACTCTCCCAACACAGCTACAAAACAGACATATGTGGAGATGCTACATGACTTCAAAGATTAAAATGTATTTAGGGTTATTTACAATGAAATTATTACTTTTCACAGCAAAAACACCTCAAACTCAGACATAACAAGATATACTAATCGACATCAAATTTATAAATATATATACTTTCTTTTGAAGTTTGAGCTTGGTAAATAGAATAAATGTAACTATTTAATTTCACATTTAATGTTCAAAATTAATTGTGACTACCTTGTACTAAAAAATAAATGGTCTCATTATATACTTTTCCTTTATATATATATATATATGAGATTATATATAATGAGACTGTTACTTCTGCACACAAAGTCACAAACCACTCAAACTCTTAGCAGTAACATCAAAGTGTTCTTGTACAAATTAGGGAAAAAAAAAGGAAAAAAAATTCCCTTTTACCCTCAACCAGGTGATTTCGTATATGATAGCTGGGGATGTTTTGACATTATTATCCTAGTACTTTCTCTCTCTCTCTCTGTTTTGTGTGTGTAATAAAATGTTGATGTTCATTACTTAAAGCTCTAAGGTGTAGAAGTTTCCTCCTTTTTTTATAATAAAATGTTGATGTTCATGACTTAAGCTCTAAGGCATACAAGTTTCTCCCGCAAAAGGGCGAAGACTTTCATTTATGTGATGAAGAAGAGAAACCGTAAGCCTCTCTTCTCCTCGTTTTTGAAGGAGGAGAACAACCATTTCCTCAATTCACATAAAATATCAAATGACTAGGAAATGCCATAGTTGGCAAGTTGGGAAATGATAAAATACTGACAAGTCAAAACATTCGTAATAAATCGATTTTATTTCATAAAGTCGGAGGAAAAAATAGGGATAAAAATAAAGATCACCAAAAAATAAAGTAAGTTATAGAATCATGAATATTTCCGATTTGGTTCGAAAAAACGCAGTGAAAAAATCGGATATGTAAAGATGGTCAATAGAATTATGATTTGTGCTATTGTATAGATATATTAAATCCACTAAACAATAATCTTATAGCGTTACTAGAGCCATTAGAGTAATACTTGACAATTTTTTGTTGAAACGTTTCATAAATCCAACAACAATACTTAGTATGTTCTCACGACATAAAACATATTGTAGATTTATTGGGAATATAAAATGGAACACCAACCATAATACTAAGCACAATAATTAATTAGCAAATAATAAGAGCTATGAACCAAGGAATGGGATTACTTTTCAAAGAAAAAAATATATTACACCCACAATATAGGATTACAATTAATTAAAAGAAAACACAAAGACCCAAATACATAAAATAGTGGTTCATCCAAAATGGTATGTTGTACACACCAATGAAAATAAAAAATAAATATAAAATTAATCAAACTTCTTTATGCATAAAAAAAGGAACAAAATACTTAAGTAAATTCGAATTTCACATTGAATTCCTAGCTACCTAAATCATGAGTATCATTGAATCTCTCTCTTGTTTTTATAAAGACGCTAACAATTTAAAGGGATATATATATAAATCATTGGGTTAGTCTTCTTTTAACCTATTATTGTGAGATATATGATTGTTTTGATTACTTTTTTTTGGAGAATATATTGCTTGTATTTTTTTGTAATGGAACTCATTGGTGAAATTTTTGATGGAATTTTTTTGTTAAATCAAGATTCTTAATTTATTATATTGTTAGTGTACTTATCTTTAAATTTTTTTTTTCAATAATATTAAGTTAATGAAGAGATAAAGCTACAGGGAATAAGTTTTTTGGAAAATTTTTTTTTGAAAAAAGATAAAATACTGATTTATAGTGGTTCCATTAAAAAAACACGCTTTTTTATAGATTTTTTTGAAAAACTTGGAGTTCTAAACATATTTTTAAAAATCAAATTTTTTTTGAAAAAATTGTGTTTTAAATGGCGATTTGCCATCTATGATATGAAGTTGGCACCTTGTATAAACTATTTTCGATAGGTATATATTGAAAACTATATATGGACAAAAAGGATAGAAAAATTCCGCAAGGTCAAACTTGTGATTGCTTAGATGCGCTTATGATAACTGAAAAAAACAAAATGATAATAAAAAACTCATATTTTAGGTAAACTCATGGACCTCAATTCCTTCAGCTGTAATGCATCTCCTGCCGTATTTCATGGGAACACATGACCTCAATCCCTCTCAATAATTGAGAGAATTAAACATATATGGTGCACCCAGGTGGAATTTGAGTGAAATGTCCATAATAATCCCAATTAATTTTAAACTGCCAATATTTTACGTGAACTATTTACTCAAATATTTTAAATGTGTGTGGTTAGCTTAAGGGCCCAGTTTTATGATATAAAGTAACCTATAACTCTGCTAGAAAAGGTGGTTCTCACGTTAAAAATATTATCAATCCTAAAATCTATTTCTTCCCCTGTTTATGAAATTTGAAACTCTAAAAATAACGTAGATCTAATGAATCTGTGTGCAAAAATGAATATTAATATGTCACGAGGCACATTGTCTTTAAAGCTTGTAATCATTTTGCTTCGATATTGAATATCCTTACTTATCGAGGTTGATAATTTCAAGGTTTTCTGATACCAAAAATGCAAGTTCTAGAGGGACTTTGAGTTGACCTTTTCCTTCACAAATTTTCAATATCATGCTAAGCAAATGGGTCCCACGTGAAAAACAAAGTTAGGGCTTGCAATGTGCTGAGCCCGGGCAGGCAGCCCTTGCCCAGCCTTGGTACTTATAGGGCTAGCCCTAGCTGTGGCGTGGGCCCTTTACAGGGCCAGCCCAGGCCAAATGGATGGAAAAAAAAAGAAAATAAAGAAAAAATTTGTAAAGAATTTGGACGAGCCGGGCCAAACTTGTCTTGCTTCTAGTTCTAGCTCTAGCCCAAGCATGCCCCAGCTAGGCCCTCGAGTCACATTTTGTGGTTTAGGCTGCAACATTCAGGGTTGGTTTGGTTTGCATAAGGTTGCAAACCACCCCTAGGCACAATACAAAAAAACGTGTGTGGTTTGCATAAGGTTGCAAACCAAAAAGTCAAAATAATGTGTACCTCCAAATTTTATCGTAAGATTAATCTTGGTAGAAAAAAATCTTTAGACATGATGAGAATCTATTTTCATATCTAATTACAAAATTTTTAATTTAAAAAATGGTTCAAATGAAGTAAATTTATAAACACATGAAAATCTTGAAAGGGGATAGTCAACATAATATGTTGCAAGATGCTCTATGTTTGGGATGCAAATATTTTTTCCCTGTACATCTCGATATCAAGATGATCGATTAGAGTGTTTTCTAATATCAAAACAGGCTTTTTCCGATTGGTTTTTGAGGTGCAACTTAGTTCTACCATTTAAGGTCACAACCTTGCAAAACAAA